TTGTGCCATGGCCACGCAGTTATCCAGCGACACATTGAACATTCGCTGCACGTGGTCGTCTGGGTCTTCCTTCGCCTTGGCCAGTCCGAACTCCCGCATCCTGGTAGTGAGCGGATCGCGACGCTGCAGGCGCGTGGCGGTGGGATCGTGCCCTCTCTTCGCGGCGTTGTAGTGATAGTAGCGACTGAGGAACGTGGTTAGAACAGCGCCCTGGGTCTTGTAGTTGAACTTGATGGTCGAGTAGACGCCCGAGTGATCGAAGTGAACGATGCGAGCGTAGTGGCCTAGGAAGAGGATCATGTAGTGATGGGTACGATGTTGATGCACGAAGACGTTCTCGACGTATGTGAGGATTTGACCCAGCGCCTTCTTCCGGTCAGCGGCGAGTGGCTGCTGGTCGTCGGTCGTGTCGTCGAACGGATCCTGGTCAGTGGGGTCAACCTTGCACTCGATGGACAGATCGATGCGCGACCAGTTGACGCGTCGGTTGTATTCGCCGTCGCCCTCGTTGATCGGTTTGAACTCGGTGGGGTACAAACCAAGGTCCACTGCCTGACGAGTCGCGTCGTTCGGGTCGGACTTGTAGGGAGTCGATGCGCAAACCAGCTTCGTACTGTCAACAATGTCCGAGGTGTTGATCTTGTCGGTCTGAAACACTTAGTTGAACGGAGAGAGCATGATGGGGAGGACGTAACCACTCACGATCCATTTGTACATCTCTACTTCGGTCGAGAACTTCGGAGCATCCGAGAAGATGTTCTCCTTGAGCGCAGGATAGTAGTCCTTGACAAAGAGGTCCATGAAACCTTTGATGGTAGGGGGGATGTCGATTTTGCCACGCATGGTGTCACGGAGAGCGCCTCGATCCTGTGCGAGAGTGAAGGTCAACGTCGAGTCGATGGTGTTGCGTTTGTAGCGGGCAGGGGAAGATTTGGGAGCTTTCTGCACGTTGCGAAGCTCTGAAACAGCGGGATGAGCAAAAGACCGCGCGTGTTGGGTGGTGCGAGACATGGCAGGGGTGGTGAGGAAAGACGAGGGGGTGGTTGGGGAACATACCTGCTAGTGCGGTTTTATGCTGAGGTCTCGTGATATGTTGAAGCGTAACCAGGCTGCGCTGAACCTATTGTGACCCAAATCGAGTGGGCTTGGTTGGAAATGCAGGCGCCGGACAAAAGGCTGTAGTGGCGGGAGGAAGAGGTTCAACATGTAAAAGCGCCCGCAGCTCGCCTTGTATCAACACCACGTGTTCGCTTCACAAAGACGGTTGTACTTTGCTCTCCTCAGCCATTCCATCCCACGAAGCCGCATAACCTCACAGTTAACAATGAATTGGATGAGCCAACTTATCAGGTGGATATTGCAAGCCATACTGCTGTATGTCGCTAGTGTACATGCCCATGTTGGGTCGAGCGCTTATAGATGTTCCAGCGAGGTGTTGGCGAGTTGGTGGCAGTGCGCACGGTGGTTAGAGACATGTCTTCCATCACCATGATTGGGAATGACTACACTACGAGCTAGTGCAAGTAAAAAGTACAAGAAGAGTAACGAAGCGGAACTTAGCCCCACTGACTGTGAGGTAGCCTGGGCCCAGGACAGTGTTGTATTTGGAAGTTGACCCGGAACTGCAAGCACTGGTCTACCCACCACGGAGGATCACACCCACCGTTTATACGGATCTCCATCATCGACACCTTGGTCAAAGACCAACTTCGTAGCCTCGTTAGAACACAGTGACAGAATACTTATCGCAAAGGTCAGTGCGCGTTTCCGCCCGGTGGTTGGGACTGACCGCGCATGCTTCGCTTGCGCTGGTGACCGGCATTACCCTCCTCCTGAATAGCATGGCACTTGGGGGAAAAGCAACTTAGACGGTAGAGATCGTCGAAGAGTGCTGGGAAAGGTTCCAGATGGAGTGCCCCAGTGAGTCGTCAGTCCCGACTCCCGACCAGCTCGCCACCCGATTTGCTGCCACCCGGGAGCAGCGCAGAATCACGGGTTGGTTATCCCCATACTATGCATACTCCGTCATAGCCCGCTGCGAGATCACCGACATCGCTGCAGTTCTGTATCGTTCTGCCGCGCTGGTAAGTACTGTCGCTATTGCCTGACGGCCCTGACCCACACCTTCTCCGGCGCTCGGGATGCTCGGCATCGCCAGTACCGCTGTAGTCATTGTACATCTGTAACACTGCCAGACCAGTCCTTGCGACTCACCGAATGGACTTGTACATAGGAGTATCCGGCCAGTATTATTGCGAGTACTTCCTGACCCACACAGTCTCCGGCCGCGCAGGAGGTACCGTATACGCACGCCCCCGGCCTGATCGGGTCGACGTCCCTCCGTACCCTTGGTGTCCCTCGCGACTACATGCCTGGTCTCCCCTGAGAGGACGATTGCGCTGGCCTGTGGGATGGACGGACGGACGGCCGAAAGCTCCGATGGTGCTCGCACCCGTCCTGCTGCACGTACGCGTAAATACCCACAGTCGTGAGCATCCTCCGATTTTGACATCCGCGTCCCAACCGCAGTCCTTGCTCACGCTCCCCTTCTACTTACTGTACTATCTGCGAGTCTCCAGCTCCCGCCTCCACCCTCTCCTCTGAACCATGTCCTGCCCAGACTGTGTCACCGGCTACGTGCACGACGGGGCCACGCCCAAGGGCACCGAGATCAAGGTCGCGGGCATCGACGCGTACGCAACCGGGGACGAGGCGTCGAAGCGCATCATCGTCATCGGCGCGGACATCTTTGGGTGGAAGCTCGCGAACACGCGGCTGCTCGCGGACGAGTACGCCGCGAAGGGCTTCAGGGTGATCGTGCCCGACTTCTTCAACGGTGCGTGCATGCTGCCGCGGCATAGCGTGTGCCTTCAGTCTCTGAAGACTCGCGCGCGTGTTGAGAAGGCACGGAGGCTGACTGCTCGTACGACGCAGGCTGGCAGCTCCCGATGTGGACGCTCACCGCGAACGACCACAACGACCCCTCGCGCTCCTGGCTCAAGCGCTACGTCCTCGCGCCCGCGTCCATCTTCGTCTTCGTGCCCTTCCTCATCCGCAACCTCGGCAGCCAGGTCTCGATGATCACCTCCATCGTCTCCGCGCTGCGCGCCGCGCACCCCGACGCGAAGATCGGCTTCGTCGGCTTCTGCTGGGGCGGCCGCTTCGCCATCTCGCAGAACTTCCAGTTCGACGCAACGGTCGCGTGCCACCCGTCCCTCGTCAAGTTCCCTGCAGAGCTGGACGGGATCAAGGGCCCGTTCAGCCTCGCGGTGGCCGAGACGGACCAGGCGTTCAATGGGGAGAAGGCGAAGGAGACGGAGAAGATTCTGAAGGAGAAGGGCTTGAAGGACATCGAGGTCGTGGTGTACGAGGGCGTGCAGCACGGTTGGACGGTGCGCGCGAACCTGGCGGACGAGAAGCAGAAGCTGGGGAGGGACAATGCGGTGAAGCAGGTCGTCGGTTGGTTCGAGAAGTACTTGACGAGCGATACCCCTGCGGATGCTCCCGCTGCTTGACCGTGTTAGATCGTCTTGCGCGTTTGATACTCGCATGCCTTCGTCATAGCATATTTATATGAGCACTCTCCAACTTTGTTAGTCACAGACAGTTAGATACATGCGGTGCGAAGTCCATGTGCAATGTCTGAACGTGTGGAGTTAGTCCTTGTCCTGGGCTGCCTGCTTGGGAGCCTGCTTAGACTTGAGATCCACAACATGTCAGCGCAGCTCTGAGGTATGAGAAAAGTCAGACGCACCACACCACCCTTGCGCGCGTCGCCCATGTCGGTCGGGCCACTGTTGTCGTCCTCCTTCTGGAAGGTACCGGGGTGGGAACGCGTGTTTGGCTTTTCCTTCTGGTCGTGGTCGGTCTCGGCCTCTTCGGTCTGACCCGGAGCGCCATTAGCGTATTGATCCTCCTGCTCCTCCTCGCGCTGCGCGTCGGCGGGCGAGTTAGATTTCTGAGCAAGAACGAGGACGAAGCTATAGGTCAACATGTCGCACGGATAGAGGTAGGGTAGGGCAGAGCGAGCTACGTACGAATGCCTGCTTCATAGAGGCGTCGATCTCCTCGGCGGAAGCGGTGTTGCCATCAGAGTCGGTCAGCTCAGGAACGCCGTGCACCTTGCCGTCGTCGGGCGAAGCAGCAGAGCCCTGGAAGATGAGTCAGTGGTGCTGAGTAGGAATCGAATGTCACAATTGTTATCACCTCTTCAGCAGCATAGGCCTCCTTCGGCGAGTCGGACTCCTGCAATATAAGTCAGTCGAAGCGGCAAGTGTCGCACAAACGTGTATGCGTACAATTGCCTGCGTTGCAGCAGCATCAACGTCGGAGGTGGGTGCAGGCGCATCATCCCCTCCGTGGTCAGGGGTGCTGTCTGTCCTGGAGTGCTTGTGCTCAGCAGAAGAATGAGCTGCTTTGCTTTTGGCAGTGGGCGTGAGGAGGTACGCGATCTACATAGTCAATGGGCGTGATAGTGAGCTCGCCTTTACCGTCACGTCACAGCGAACGGTACGCACCACGGGGCCGAAGACGAGCGCAGAGCCAATCTGCATGTACGACGCGCATGGTTGGAGCATCAGACACGTCGTTGATCACTCCAGGACACTACGTACGATCCAAGGCGTGTCGCTGCTCTGCTTCGCGGCATGGCTCGGGCTTGTGCTGGCAAACCGACGCCCGACAGGAGCGGAGGCGCGTGCAGCGGGGCGTACGGACTGGGCAAGGGCGCGACGGGCAAGTCGAGAGGCCATCATCGTCAAGCAGTGAAGAAGACGGTGAGAAGTCTGGCGGGAGATGCACTGGGATGCAGGACTTGGGCGGGAGCAAGCGTACGGTCGGTGGGAGGGAACCGCGCTCGCTCGCCAGCTCTCGGGTCCTCTCAGCGTCTCCGTCGGACGCGCTTCGGCAGCCTTCGGTCAATGACGTCTTCCCCCGCATCACTTTCATTATCCCCGCGTGCCTAACATTGTCCGTTATATTTATAGGGACAGGTTATTTAAGCCCGCCTAGCTCAATCGGATAGAGCGTGAGACTTTTACGAATACGTGATTGACGTGTCACGTGATCTCAAGGCTGCGGGTTCGACCCCCGCGGTGGGCTTAATTCTCCTGTTTCCTGACTTTTTCCTTTGCAAGGCCTGTCCTGTAGGGCGGAGGTTGAGCTGCCTGGTCAGTGGTCTGTGCATCAGCGACGCGACGTACCTTGCGCACGTGAGCTTCAGGCAAGGAGCGAGGAACTGCACTGGCTGGACTAAGTAATCATGAATATACCAATTCCATCGTTGAAACTTGAGTGCTGACCGCCGCGCGACCTTGACAACAGAGGCTGTGGCCTGGCAAGTACGATATTATTGAGACGCACGGTAGTCCAGGGCATAGAGATGGCAGCAACAACATTGGAAACAAGGTGCGATGTCATACGCATGACAGCAGACAGTAGATATCCCTGTGACGAGACCGCACATCAGCAAAGCGCCATGAGAGAGAGTTGGCAGAGGACCCACTATATGTATCGTACAGATCAATCCAGAGTACTCATACCATGCACGATCAATCTTCTGCTCCGGAGCAGGAGATCGCAGGTAGGGTCAGGGCGGTGCTTCCACTGCGACGACTTCCATCGTCCCGTCTTCATGCTCAAGTACTCTGGTCTCCGGAGCTCCACCGTCATCTCTGCCGGTAGAGTCATCTGTGGCAGCCTTTTGGACAAACTGGTCGAGCATGGTGCTCTGTCCCGTCAATTTGCTTCTCTGGTTACCCTCTTTTGTCCTGGCCTTCGACCGGCCAGGGGCTGCTGGCTCGGGCTCCAGATAAGGCAACAACTCTGGTGCAGATACTGTAAGTACATCGAAGTATTGGCGGAGATTGTACGTACCTTCGAGAAAGGCAAGCTCATCCGCTCGTCGTACAGAGGCAACTGAGCAGCGGCGCATCGGCAACAAAATCTACGGAGAGTTGGTGATTTTCGATGCACTCACCAAGGTCCTTGGCTTGCACGGTGGTTCTCTTCTCTCGCTCCGCAACTCGCTGAGCAGCCTCTGCTATTCGCTGAATAAACTCCTCTGTTGCACAAGATATCAGGAACGCCGCTTCTCGTTGCACCATGACCAGGTCCTGCTGGCGTGAGCCCAAACAAACGGGCATCCGTGTACGTGCAGGCAACGTACCTTGTCTGCTTTCATTATCTTCTGCACTCTCGCATGAGGCAAGAGAGACTTCCCAGCTTCGCGTGGCAGGGTGTCCGGAGCCTTCGGTTTCTTTGTCTTTACTTTGACCGGTTCCGCGAGTTCTTCAGTGGGCTCCATGTGGCTAGGCTGGTCCGTGTTCATGGCATCCGGTGCAGCGGTGTCAGCGTTTGGTGAAGCCGGGCGGGACATCATGAGACGCGAAGTGGGTGGTGGTCGTACGAGCGCAAGACGCGTGTCAAATGCGACCCATCACACCATTTGACGCGACTGGTCATGCACGATGCGTGACTCTTTCCAGGCCCAGGCAGCCAACCCAGGCCAACCCGGTATGTGTAGGCCAGCTTCCCTTCAACGACCTACCTGACCGTGTCGACACTACTGACTGCCGGTCATGGTACTCTCCACCCTGAGCCCGAGGATGCCAGCCTCAGACTGATCAGACCGCTCTATCGCACACGGCTATGAATGCGGAGCATAGACAGATGCACATGGAGAATCCAGCTACATTCTTAGTACTTACTACTCGTACAACGGTGTGGATCGGTCGCATTTCGGTCACAACTCCACGTCCTCACCTTCGTCCACGCTCTCATACTTTTCAAGCGCGGCCATAAATCTCGCCCATCGTCCTCCATCCCAACTCATCATGTCCTTCCACTCCTGGCTGTCCTCCCCACAACACTTCTTGAACCACATGAAGAAGCCCACAAGTATGACATCCGCATAAGTGAGGCCCTTCTTGTCACCCATGAAGAACAGCTTCTCCTTCCCGTCTGCTTCCAGCCATCCTGCCATTTTGTGCACCCCCTTCTGCACCCCCTCCCAGCTCTTCGCTGTTTCTCGCTGCCGGGCGGGGCGAGCTCCTCAAGCTTGCCCAGTCGCTTCTCCCGCATCTCGCGGAAGTACAGCTGGCTCGCCGGGTGCAGGATAGCGCATACAGCAGGGATGACAATGGGGACAAAGTCCCAGTCCGGGAACACCGCCCAGATCACGTCTTCGAGCGCAGTGATGAGCGCGTCCACCTCTTCTGGGATGAGACGTGGGGTGTGGGGGTATGTGCTGTCAAGGTAGCGTGCAATGGCGGCGGAGTAGGAGATGACGCTCTTTGTGTTTGGGTCGTAGATGATGGGCAGCGTATACAGCGGGGTGCCGTCCTTGCGTTTCTCGGCAGGAGTGGCTCCGATCTTCTTGCACAGAGCCTCGATGTCGGGGTACTCGACCCAGACTGTCTTGTAGGGGATGCCTTTGACGTTCAAGGCGTACCTGCAAGCATATGTTGTGAGATACGGGCAATATGATGGCAGACTGTGGGCTCGTACCTGGTTTTCCAAGTGTTAGGGGACCAAGCCTTTCCTTTCACCACTCCAGGAATGTCGTAGAAAACGATGGACTCAGGCATGGTGGTGGGCAACAAGCAGATTCCGCTCGGCCTGCAGATTGCCTGCGGATTATACTTTGATGATAGTTGAGGTTCACTTTCGAGAAGGCAGGAGTTGCCACCCGGTCTCGGACACTCGGTGTACGAATATTCTGCCATACGGGTGGTTACCGAGAGCATACAGTCACCAGCACGCATCATCGTAGATCATGGTAGCGGTAGGAAGACTTGTAAAGGAAGGGTTTCGAAGCAGACCAGAAGCGCCCATCGGATGCGTGCGCCGTGGAAGGCTGTGGAGGTTGTGATCTGAGTCCATACCACCACCTGCATACGCACACGGCTCAAAATCCATGGACTAGCTTCCTCTGACGACCTGCTTATGACGCCTCTGTCTCTACTAGTGTATGAAGGTGCCAGCTCCTTCTCCGGAGTCTCTCGCCCATCGCTCCCGGATTGCGGCACTCGTCTCAGAGCTCCGGCCCACGCGTTTTCGCGCACCCTTGACAAGACTGCTCGCGCATCGCATCCCGACACTATGGACTCTGTATAGGGGAGTTCTGCGCGATGCGCCGACTGAGACTGTAAGTTTCCTGCAGATGAACCGGGCACCGAGCTTGATAGGTACCGTGTAAAGATCAGGTCGCGCATGCGAGCTTTCTTTCATTATCGCAAGGGCTTGCGTGCACAAGGGGATGTCACGGGGAATTGAAGAAGGCTCATAAGGTGCGTTTATTATCTACGTGGCTGGCAGTCGCGGTGACAGTGTGTTCCAATGAAGTGGTGGGACGTATTCCGGAAAGCTCAAGCGGGAGATACGCACCTTCAAGCCGTGTGTGCTCGCTACAGTAGGATGCTTGAGGGCGCACAAGCACAGGCTGCAGTGGACAGGGTCTACGAGGAGGAACTGGTACGTACAATCCGCGTACTTTGAGCAATCTGCCTTATGCATACGTCTCGTAGGCCTGGTACGAGAGGATGCGAACACGTCCAATCATGACTGGGGCCTACCTGCGACCGACTCTCTATAACGGACCTCTCCCCCGCCTCGTTCCCCAACCTCTGCACATCACTGGCATGATCACCGCGAGACGCAAGGCTCGCGTGCGTCGTATGGAGCGACACGAAGCTTGCCAAGAGGACCTTGCGCTACTCAATGCCGAGGGCCACTTTGAACGCACGCTTGCCCTCTCCAGTACCGCCGAGGGAAAGCAGCTCGAGAGAGTCTTCACTGATGATCCCAACGGCTGGCGTATGTTCTTAGTTAACCTCTCCTAGTGCGGTCGATGTGCTGACTAGCGTTCGGTTCAGGTGAGCCTCTCAAGGAAACCATGGGTGGTGTCTCTCGAGCGTTCGAGCGGGAGAGGGCTCGTCTCAATGCGCCCTATCCACCCGAGATGCTTGAGGCAATCAAGGAGGCTCGACGGGAGAAGATTCGGAATAAGACTCGCGAAGGGGAGCGCGAGCGGCGGGGAGAGATGACGAACCGCCTGTCGAAGCGGATGCGCCAGGGTCCGCCGGCGCACGTCCTTGCGCTGATGTCGGACAAGCAGAGACACATGGATCGCATTGCGCGCGGTGCGAGCGAGGTCGGGTACGTTGGCCAGGTGAAGCGCAGGCTAGGGTTCGGATTGAAGGACGGCGAGGCGGGGAAGGCGGAGCTGGGGCAGCCGGAGAACAGAGAGACGTTGGACAAAGTGGCGGTAGCCATCGCTCAGGAGAATGAGCGGCGAAGGGCGAGTTCTTGAGCCTGATCTTGTATCTGGTGAGTTCATCCTAACTACCGTTGCCACAAAAGCACTGAGATGATGCTTGGACTGACTGACGCGGGCATGATCAACAGGTCTTTACGTTCTTTGTATCTCGTGGCATACAGCGGCTTATCCAGCGGTGAGCTCTTGGAAGCTCTTCTAACCAGCGTGCAGAACATCCAGAAGTCAGATGCTATTCAAACGTGGTCCCGCAAGTGGGTCTAGGAGGATCTTTGGAGTTCTAATAATGCACCCAAAGGAGTGTGAGAATGTTTTCACTGACTTCTCGGAGGTACGGCTGGACAGGTTGTCAGGCTGTTTACGTGCTGGTCTCATATCAAGCTCCGAGCATGGGAGGGATCTCGGGGCGTACATAAACGATGAAACCAATGAACATGCCCCGCAGCAGCTGTGAACAGCGGCGAGCATCGCGCACCCTCGACAACATGGAAGATTCACGCACAACCGTCCTATGTGCTCTGCTTGCAGTCGTTTTTGTTGCATGTATCACGCGATGGTGTTCTGACCCGGTATGCTGCATTACACGCTTTGCATGAACGAATACTAATCGCACGCTTTGTGTGTACAGCTCAGAAAGATTCCGACCGTCGGTGGACCCTCTGCACCTATCCTCTCCTACTGGAGCGCCTTCCAGTTCCTACGCCGACCGAGAGCCCTACTCTCTGAGGGGTATGCGTGGGTAAGAGTGGCGAGCATCCACCCTGTGCGGCGATTCATCTGACGGCGGCTGTCGCAATGCGTAACTAGTACCACGGCGGTGCGTTCA